ATACGTTTCTCAAAACCTTATTCTAGGTATTCTCTATTCTTTAAGCATATTTGAAACTCTGACGGTACGTTTTTATTAAACGCTGAGCGTGACGAATTTGGTCTTAGCAGGCGTAAGGCTTCTCCTTTCGCGAATTCCGTATTTACGCCGTTAAGTGTATGACATGAAAAATAGCTCGTGTATTAGAAGGTCACTGTCTCTTTGTAATGTGTTTTCATGTTAAGGGTCGATTCCCCGTTAAATAATTCGCGAATTTGATATTATTCTCACAGCCATCGGCTGAGTGTAACTGCTGCCGGTCAAACGTGTAGATTCTTGGGCAAGACTGCAGTTTCGATTCTTTCTGAATCTCTTCAGTTGCCTCCTGAGAATGAATTTGTCACGGAGAAATAACAGGAGTCGCGCAGGCCCATAAACACTTTTAAACTTTCGAAGGAACGGCAACAGATAGTGAATCTCCATCACATTCCACGTTTATTCACGCTATCTTGCTGCCACCAGAGATGTTCACTTGACAGCGACAGGATGCAAAAGACTCCCTTCTCGTTTCACGACCATGATGCAACGCAATCAGAGTGCGCACACCGCCCCGGTTGCCACAGGTGACACGAACAATAATACGGACATAAACAACCCTCCGATTTGCCGCCGTAACGCTCAAGAGAATTGAAAAGTTTATTAGTATCACGCGGAAACCATGGAGAATGAGTTCGTTGAAGACGATGCTAATCCAAATAATCCCAGCAGAGTTCGAATATCTATAACAAGAGCTTCTTTTTCGGAGGACGATAGTGACATCGAATCGCCAGAAGAATCTACGAGACCGCGTGCTGATTCAGACAGCAGTATTAACGAGCAAGAAATGGAGAGAATGATGAAGGAGGAAGAACAAAATGAAAATGAACAGTTAAATAAAGGCGAGAAACTAGAGGAACATAACGACGCGACTTCCAACAATAATGTTGTCAAAGATTCGAATACAACGGAGGACGAACAAGTTAGCAAAGCTTTCGAAAATGGCGTGACCTTACAAGACGAAGCCGATGAAGCGTCAAGTGAAAGAAGCGAATCAGTAGGAAAAGTTAATGATGAGCCAGATGAATCCGCACAAATAAGTAATAAAGAAGACTCTTCGGTATCGTCGCCTGCCAAAAGTCCTACAATGGAAATGATCGGTGATCGAGTTCTCATAGAACGTGACGGCAAATTCGAACTTGTAGATGTGAGCGAGATCAAAGCTGAATATTACGAACTGTTGGGAATAACACCTGAAGCCAATGGCGTAAACAACGGAAGCGAAGGAAAAAGTAGCGAAGCGACTGAAAATGATGCCGAAGAAATCCCTGAGGAAAAACCTGCGTCACGGCCCAGACCAAAAACTACTTCGGTTCAAGAACAGCACCGTAGAAACGAAAAGAAAAGAAATACTAGGAGTGTTGATAGAACTCGAAGTCAGAGCGCGAAGGCGATTCGACAGAGAAATGATGATTATGCTCATATTAGATCGGAATACGCAATGACTGAACAGCAGCTTGAGATAAGAAGGAAATGTAGAGAAGCCAAATTAAGGAGGCAAAAGGAAGAAGAGGAGAGAGAGCGGGAGGAACAGCAGAGAAAAAAAGAAGATGCTGAAAGAGCTTTCCAAGTACGTGTGTTTGAAAAGTTATGTTGTAGGTAAAGCCAGGCCAATACAAGCTTTAAGTCGTCCACTGAATTTTCGGTCGTTCACATATTACGCCCAAGGCTTCTTCGAGTGAAAGCTTTCGTGAATTTTCTATAAACATTGAACAACAAATTAGCCGTGATTATGTATTTCATATCATATTACACTTCAAGTCCTTTACTAACATCTTTTGTTACACACTTGTGAAGGAATGATTCTTCAGTTCTTACCTTTTGCCACCATAAGGTATTTAGCTTGCGTATACGGAAGTTCGCACACTTTTTGCATACTGATTAGATCTTTGCCGTAGAACTACAGTAGCATGAAAAGCTTCTTAGACACTTCTCTGGAAATATGAGACATAGTTAAATTTCGGGATTTGGGTCTTAACGAAACCCACGAAGTTACGTTCCTTGACTCTTCAAGGATACATTTGATATTTATGTAATCAAGTTCAGATTAAGTTTGCCTAAACCACAATTTCTTGGGTGTAAGCATATATCGAGTTCTCTCATATTAGATAGAGTTAAAATTTAAAAAGCGAGAGGCCGGTTGAGTAAATTGATTGTTGAACTCAGAGAGAGTACTCCTAACTCTAGGTAGTTGTCATCGCGGGTGAACGAAACGCTGAATGGTCACATATTCAAACACCTGACATATCTTTTTGCACTCTCTGTTCAATATAATTTTTTTCAGGGTTGGTTATTTGTGTAATCCTGAGATACTTTTTTCAGTTGGAGGATTTCAGCGCGTATTTTGTGTGTGAGATTTGGGGCTGTGTTAGACTCAAAGTCAAAATTGAGAAAATGGTACATTCTACCTGTATATACAATAGTTGCTTTTATTGATGCTTTCGTTTGGACTATTTAGTAGTATTTATATTGTAGTTCTCAACACTGGCAGTGAATATGACTGCCCAGCTACTAAAAAAACTTACTTCAGTCAGAGTAATGAATTTTCAATATCAAATACATATTGTTTACAGTGTAAATTTGTTCTATGTGCTCAAAGTTGTAAAGTTTCTTTGGAGAGACTTCTTCACCATGTCGAACAATTTATTTTCTCTGGCAGGTTTGGTTATATAATAAAATAGAAGCTGCAAAGCAGGCAAGATTAAATCAACCAGACCCAGAGGATGCACTAAGAGCCAGAGAGGAAAAAGAGAGTAATGCCCAGTCAGCATACAGTGAGTGGCTAAGTATGAAGCGGCAACAAGACAAGACACTGAGACAACTGGAGGAAAGACGGAGAGAGGAGGAAGCCTCCCAGTACACAATAAGAGATCGGCAACTTTGCGATGAGGCATTTAGAAGGTGGGTAAAAATTACTTAGTTTTTATTAAGATAGTCCACTCTTTCTCTCCTACTGATGTGCAAATATTTGTTTCATTTGACTTGAGCAGAAGAGCAATAAAGGGTGTGTATATGATGTGTTACAATTAAGGCCAAAATTTGTGTGAGACGTGAAATTAACTTAAAGACGAGTGAGCATGGTTTATGAATTTAGGAGTGTATGCTTAATGTGATTTACTTCTAGAAATATGTGTGACCCAAAGGGGTTTTTTCCACTTTATTCTTAAAGACCTCAGAATCTCCAAAAATGGTTAAAAAGTTTTACAATTTTAGGCCTAGGAAATATAAGTGGGTATTTATAATGATAAACTCATACCAGTTGTAATAATGGTGAAGTTCTTGACACCAGACCCCCAAAATATCCCTTCTGGGTGATAAAGCTTATGCACTCGATTACTTGAACTCTTTAAGAGAAGATCTTTGAGGTCCTTAACCCTTTAACTCCCAAGATCTTATTGTTAATTCTCCCCTCTAGCTACTACACATTTCCTTATAAATTAGTTGCAAGAACTTGGTGTTAGATCAAGATAGCAGCTTCTACCTAATAAATTTGATTATTCTCATCACCTGTTTGCTGAATAATGTATAGATATTATGGGGAGAATTTTCATGTTCATCACTTCTGGGAGTTAAAGGGTTAAAGATTTGCTAATTGTCCAAGTTGGAAAGGGCAAGTCAAATGCCAGATGGCAGATACAGTGACTGTCAAGATTTTTGTTCCCTTTCTGTTCACAAGCTATTATTCAATCGCAAAAAATAATCAACATGGCAATTCTTATGTGGCTTGGACTGTTTCCTATGTCAAAATCCTTTGATATTCTTGGCAGGAAATTGGCAGCCTGCTGACCAAAATTGATCCGCTCGAGAATGTTTGATTTTTGGCAGTTACCGTAGTTATTCGGTTATAAGGCGCACCATTTTTTTCAAGAAATTCCTAATTTCTACTAAAAATTACCGCCAAAGTTTGGGTGCATCTTATAGGCGAATATTTTCCCGAAACAATTTTTTTTTGATCACAGTTACTGGTACGATTTCAAGCAAATAAAATGACACACACACATTGACTTTTATGAATATGGTGGTTCTGAAAAGACAAGCGAAGTCAAATTTGCATAGATGTGATACGTGCTAGAGAGCACGTGCTTAGTAATTTGATACGTCACAAAACGAAACGAAAATAAACAAGCGAAGAGCTAAATACCTTCTTCATCCTTTCAACCTTTTTAGTGCACTGAGACCTGAATTCTCGACGGTACATCTTGTTTAATCAAGGCTTTTGTTTGTGTGCGTGGTCGCGTGTGCGACAATTCTGCTTTTGTTAATTAACGGTAAACTAAAATCAATACGCGACTTTTTCGCTTTTTTGTAAGTTTATGAAAGAATTTACAATAAACTTGACCGATCTTTACTCCCCAAACAACGGTGTGCCTTATAACCAAGTATTTTAGCGATTTTCTCAGTTTGAAAACATGCAATAGTGAAGTTGCCGAATTGGGGGTGCGTCTTATAGCTGAGTGCGCCTTATAACCGAATAACTACGGTACTTTCAATTTGACTGCTACTCTGTGTCCTTCTCTATTCATGTTTCCACCCAAGCACTCAACTAAGTAGCCACTATAATATGAAATTATAGAGATGTAGTGAGTGGTGTACATCCTACTTCAGCTCCTTTCGCTACAAAGGGGAAGTATCACCTTTTAGAAAAAAATTTTGGCCACGCATCTTTTTTTTTTCTAATCTGTGATGAACAATAAGGTGAAAACTGTTGTTTTCCTTTTTTAAAATTTGCAATCTATGAAATTTTGTTCAAAAGAAGTACCCATGGTATTCTCCTCCCCCATTCCCTTAGA